AAAATTGTGTGTGTGTGTGTGTGTGTGTGTGTGTGTGTGTGTGTGTGTGTGTGTGTGTGTGTGTGTTTACAAGTATTTAAAAATTACAAGTTTTCAACAATTTATTTAGAAATAACATACACAAAATAATGGGACTTTTAATTGAAAATATATTAATATATTAAAATCAATTAGAGAGAGAGAGAAACAACATGCACAATAATAGAAATATATTTAGATTTAATAGAAAATAGATTGAAATCATGCATGTATTTTTAAGTTTTCAATTTAAAAAAAAAATAACATTCACAAAATGATGCCACTTCTAATAGAAAATATATATTAAATCATATATATATATATATTATTATATATTAAAACTCCCAAAAATACACAACATATGTTTTGAATAAATGTTCTATTAAATATAAATATATTTCTATTATTGTGCATGTTATTTATCTCACTCACTCACTCACTCAATTGCTCTCTCTGTGTATGTATATAATCAACTTTTTACATATGTTTTATTTGATAAAATAAGCATGTATTTTTTCTATCTTGTTACTCAGGTCAGTGGATTAAAATTTAGATCAGAAACTAAATTGAAGATGCAATAAGTGTACATCAGTGGATGTTTTTCAGGAGGAGAGGGTTCATTTGTATTTTGTGCATTTGTGATTTAACACAGTGCATTCACCCAATTTCAACAGAAGAAAGTATTTCCCATCCTAAAAGGCCCCCTGTAGAAGTGTTTGTTTAATAATATTGTTAATTTGGGATTTGAGGTTACTGTTGCTTTAAGAAGGCTGACCCTCTCTCTCTCCCTCTCTCTCTCTCTCTCTCTCTCTCTCTCTCTCGTTCATCCCCTCACCAGCATTTATGGGGCAGCACGAGTGCCGGCCGAGAAACAGAGAGATCCCAGCTCCGCCGGCACGTGGAGGAAGACGAGAAACAGAAAAGGACAACGAAGGAGAGGAAGATGCATTCCGGTGAACGAGTACGCAGGACAATGGGACAGAGCGGAGGTCTGGAAAACCCAAGACAAGAGCTGGATCTTTAACTGGATCGTCCCACAGAAGTACAGTAAGTGTGCTGTCCGAAGCCCAGAACACCTCGTAGGAACTGCCCCTTCATTTCCAGAAGTTCAAATCTAAGTTTACCAGGCTGATTGGATGCTGTTTTTAAAGAGACACGTGGGCAATTCACACCCTTTTAGCTTTGCATATCTATGTTTTTTTATTTATATTGTCTGTTTATGAAGTCATGAGTTTAGTTTCCGTGTTCTTCTGGTTCAAGCGATTCGCCCGCAAGACACTAATCACGGATGCTATTGTGCAATTGCATGTGATGTGAGTGTTTAAGATGAGGGAATGATTTGAAATCACTACCAGACATCCTCTCATGGATCTCAGCATCGATCGGGACGCCTGTCTGTCCGTTCCGGGTCAGACTCCAAGCGTCTCCGCCTCGTCGCCTTTGCTTAAACAGACTCACGCAGGCGGGTTTAAGAAAGTGTGTCGGATTGAAGAGGAAAGCACGTGTCCGTTCCCCGGCCTGCCGGCAGGTGTGCTACAAATGAGGGTGAAGGAGGGCAGCAAGATTCGCAATCTCATGGGTTTCGCCATGGCACGCATGCAGGACGAAGCCCGGGACGCCGGTCAAACCGGACTGAGACAGGTCGTGTTCACCGGGTCCGGACGAGCCGTGACCAAAACCATCACGTGCGCCGAGATCATGAAAAGAAAGCTCGGCGGCCTCCATCAGATGACCAAGCTGCAGTACAAGGGTCTGCGAGAGGTCTGGGAGAGCCAAGAAGGAGGCGATTCGGAGGTGACCGTCCACCGGACGCTTCCCTCCATCAGCATCCTGCTCTCCAAAGACCCGCTGGACCCGCTGGAACCGGGCTACCAGCCTCCGGAGAACAGCTTGTGGGAGGAGAGGAACGGAGGAGAAGCTTCACAGGCGGCGGAGAAACGATCTGTAGACTCATCTGAGATTCCAACGGAGCCACTGGCAAAGAGGGTCTGTCTCTGAGGATTATGGGTGTGTTAAAGACGACCGTTTCCACCGAAAGCTCTGAAACTCTCTCAGAACCAGCCTTGAAAGCTGAATGGTGACTATGCCAGTTCATAACCAGCCCACAAATACACATGCACATCACAGTCTTGCTTTTGAGCATGCAACATCACTAATTGAATTCTTAGATGCAATCAGACAAGCGTTCCCTGGAAATGCATGAACTGGTGAAAAAACTGGGACGCAGTTGGATAAATGCATAAATGTAATTTAAATAGTATTTATAAAAATATTTGTATTTATGACTAAAACTACTGTTCAGGTTTTAATATGGAACCACAGAACCGGTCCGGATCCATGCAAACATCTCAGATGGACATCAGTCAGATGCTTCATAACGGCTCGCACTGCTGGAAAGATGCTGCGTTCATTTATTAAAGAGCCGATCATGTTAAGATGGAGTTTGAGAGCTTCACATTGAGAAATGTTAGTTCATAACCAACCCATAAATAAACATGCACATCACAGTATTGATTTGAGTCTTGCTCCTGGTTTTGAGCATGCAGCATCACTAATTTAATTCAGTGTTTCTTCAGTATAATCAGACATGCATTTCCAGGTAATGCATGAGCTGACTAAAAACTGGAATGCAGTTGGATAAATGCATACATTTGCTAAATGCATAAATGTAATGTTAATACAATTTAAACATTATTTAAATATATAACAAGTAAAATGTAATGCAATCAGTATTTATGTATGTATGACTAAAAATGCTGATGTTACTGGTGCAGAGATCAGTGGGTTTTAACGTGGAACCAATTTTCTGACCTAAAACCAGTTTTTCTTTGGTGGAAACTGGTCCAGAAGCATGCAAGCATCTCAGTTGGACATGGAAGTGAGATGGAGAAGATTTCAGATGCTTCATAATGGCTTGAGCTGCGTTGCTTTATTAGAGAGCCGGAAAAAAATCATGTTCAGATGAAGTTATAGAGAACATGTTAGTTCAATATCAACCCACAAATAAACCAGGGATGTTCAAAGCAAATGCACGAACTGATAAAAGAGGACAAAAAATCTGGATAAAAGCACCTGCCAAATGCATAAATGTAATTTAAACATTATAACAGGAACAATTTAAGGCAATCGATTCATGCATATGAAATTTATGAATAAAACTGCTGATGTTACTGGTTCCCCAAAACCAATTTCCAGGCCAAAACTGCTTTCTCTTTGGTGGAAACATGTAGAACTGGTATAGATCCATGCAAATATCTTGGATGTCGAAGTGAGATGGAGATGATTTCAGATGCTTCATAAAGGCTCGTGCTTCTGAAAGATGCTGTGTCGTTTTATTAGAGAGCTGGTAAAAACCTTGTTAAGATGCCGTTTGAGATATGGGTGTTTTTCTGTTTTCATTGCATTATTTTATTACCTCAGCAAAAACCGAACGCAGCAGCATGCAGCTCAAGCAGACTGACAGTTCCTCAGAGCTCCAGTGTGCAGTTTATGTGCAAATGAAGCGTTTGGTCCTCATGCTTTCTCTGTGGTTTTAACCGCACGGAAAGTGCCACCGTGTGCAACTTTCCTGTGACGAGTTCAAGCGCTTTCATCTGCACAAAACGTTCCGTTCCGGTAGAGCAGCATGTCGTAGAGCAGCATGTCGTATCACAGCGCGTGGGATCCTGATAAATGTCTTTTGAGGGGATTTATTTGAGGCACGGTTGATTTAATTACATTCACCCTGATAAGCTTCTACCTGCAGACTGAACTAACCTGTACATCTCTGCTTTGACTCTATTACATAATGTCACCATCATAATGCTCGATTGCATCTCTGAGATAAATAATCTTCTGTAAAAGCAAACATCAAGTCTATGCTGGCAGAATGTTTGGGGGGGGGGAGCAATTTCCATCTTAAGAAGTAGAAAACGTTTCGTGACAGGCAGAGCATTTTCAGTAAACATCATTCCTGTGGTCCTTATGGACGGGTTTTAAAAAATGGGAATATTATCTTTTCCAAGTCAACATGAAATCGACTTACTATCCACTTTCTTGTTTTGAATCTTTCCTTAAAATAAAATCAGTTGCAGCATTGTAAAATAGTGGCAACTTTTCCTATCAATTCTCAACATTCTGATGGAAATGCATCATATTTCATAATTAAAAACTAATGACAAAGTCATGTAGAATCTCAGATTATGATGGAACTTCTATGTTGCACCGCAGAACAATATCATGGACATTTATTATATTGTTTGGCCAAAATTGTCTTGTTTTTTCATAAAAAATAAAAGTCAATTTCCTTCTCAAGTAAATGTATTTTGTTTTAAGAATGTTTTGGTATTTCTGCTGGAAAACAAGAGTTATACATTTTTTACATCACTTTTATATAAATGTATCTTTAAAAACACACACACACACACACACACACACACACGCACACGCGCACGCACACACACACACACACACACACACACACACACACACACAAAACGATGTAAAAGAACCATTAAAGTATCATAAAAGCATGACTAATAACATATATTTAGTATTGGGACCAAATATAATTACTTAGGATTATTATTATTAATATAAATGTATATAAAATAAATTGCCGCATGTGAAATGGTGCTGCCTGTCAATTTTTTTGTCAACTTTTACAAACAATTCTCAATATTCTGTTGGAAATGCATCATATTTCATAATTAATAACTAATGTTGAATTAATGTAGAATCACAGATTATGGTGGAATTTCTGTTGCACCACAGAACAAAATCATAGACATTAATTGACACGATTCTTAAATGTTTGACCAAAAAGGTCTTGATTTTTCACAAAACAAGACTTAAAATCTCATGTCATTTTGCTTCTGAAGTAAAGATATGTTGATTTAAGATTGTTTAGATATTTGTGCTGGAAAAAATCTTCAGGCAGCACTTTTATATACAACAATGCATCTTCGAAGAAGACAAAAATGCTGTAAAAGAACCATTAAAGTATCATAAAAGCATGACATAACATATTTAGGATCTGGACCTTTGGGATTTTGTGTGTGTGTGTGTGTGCGCGTGTGTGTGCGTGTGTGTGTGTGTGTGTGTGTGATGAACAACTCTCACACACACTGAGTGCTTCTGACAGAGTCACTTCATCAAAATCACAATCTAGTGTTTTCTCCAGAAGAGATCACAGATTGTGTCTCTGTCAGTTTCCCAGCAGCAGCATTCATCACTGTATGATGTTCGTGAGGCTCGTAGCTGAGTCTGTGCGTTTCTCTCTGTCTAACCTCAGGACGTTTCTCTTGATCGTAATGAAAATCTCTGAGGGCTGAAAACCACTTAATGCTTTCAATTTATCAAAATGTCTCCGACGTGCTTTTAATACTTGTGCACAAAACAGCCTGTGCAATCTAATTGTGCTGATCGGCTCTGCAAATGGACTTTCTAAACGATAAAAAAGCAGCACGTTGATTTGAATCTTTATGTCGTCCTCTCGGGTGTTTAGAGGAGTTAAAGTTCAGCCAAAAATCATAATTCTGTCATCGTTTGCTTAACCTCATGCGATTACTTTCTCTTGCGAAACACAAATTTTGAATACAAATATGTTATATTAAAGGGGTCATATGATGCTTTTTTAAAGATCATTATTTGGTGTAACAGAATATGTTGACATGCTTTAATGTTCAAAAAACACATTATTTTTCAAATACTGTACATTATTGTAGGTCCTCTATGCCCCGCCTCTCTCAAACGCTTCGTTTTCCACAAAGTCCCTCCTTCCGACAAGCGCAGTCTGCTCTGATTGGCCAGCTGACCCAGTGCATTGTGATTGGCCGAACACCGCAAGCACTCGTCGGAAATGTAACGCCCCTTACCATAATCGCGAACTTCATCTTTCAAAATAAATGTTAAGACAGTAAATAATGTCAGTTTTACCATCAGTTCAAGCCCGAAAGGGGAAGAGTCGCGTGACAGACACAATGATGAAGATGGTATGTGTACACAAGCCATGGTTAAGACAGCTGACTCCACTGTGATGTGACC